CGAATTTCTGCCGGTAACGCGTAATCACACTCAGTACAATGACTCCGTCCTAAACAGGAGAGACAATCAATAGGTATATTGGTTGAGATGGCTCGACGTGCAAAAAGCAAACTGCAAAATAACCACTACTGAAAAGGAGTCAGTAACGGGGTTAAATGGTCTTTAAAAACACAGGGGTCACGAACCTTGATGGAGAGGGCGTAGAGGTGATTGACCATAACATGGTTCGGGGGAGGCAACAGATTGGGGTCACAGTGCACGCCAACGTCTTTGTTCAAAATACCCTACAGAGTAAAATAGATAAGATGAGAAGGAAGAAGACTTGATACAAATATCGAATCGAGTCCGATGCTCTTGCTTGCCTAACTAGAGTCAACGAAAGAGGAAGAAAACTAGCTGGAATTTCGATGAAAAAACGACGACGCAAGTCTATCCAGCTGCATCCAGGTCTACGTTACTGTAGGCCCTAACATATGCAGCCCTACTACCGTTACAGCCATGTTAACCGTATCATCTGACAGTTCGGCCGTCGTTTTCGACGAGGCCCGCCGTGTGCTCCACAGCAGGGTGGTGCAGAGCCCGTGACTTGCGCTGCCTCTAACACACTAGCTCTTCCTTCTTGCACATCTACCCAGTGCCTTCTGAAGGAAGAATCGTTGCGGCTATAAAAAGGCCGCGCAACAATAAAGCACTTGGAGAGGAAGATACACCCGTTGGAGTCTACAGGTCCTGTATAGACACTCTGGCGCCTTGAAGCCCTGAGGTGATTGGACAAGCGTGGCGAGATGACATCGTGTCTGATAACTGGAGTTCAGACATCCTTGCGTCTTTGTTGATCTACAGTCTATGGTGTCACAAAGTGGGTCAGTTTGTCCATAAACGCTGGGGAGACCAGGGTGTTTTCATGCTGCATCCCTGTCCAAGAGAAGGAACATCCCGAGTTTAGTGACTGTCAACTTGGAGCAGTAGACTGTTTCAAATACCTCAGAGGGAAGTTGCTGCCGAATGGACAGAGTAAGGATGACATTGCCTCCCAAATCGACGAAACGCGAAGAGTTTTCCCAAGCCATAGAATGGGCCCATGAATCCGAAGCGATATTTATATCACCACAAAGGTCGGCTTGTACCATGCATCTGTGCGGTCTGTCCTTCTCTACGGCGGTGACTCCTGGACTATGCACGTGGAATAGGAAAGGAAACAAGAGGTATTTGACCACTAAGGCTGGAGGGCCATCCTTCGAGTGAAGTAAACCGACTTCGTCTCAAATGGGACAGTCCGCACTCATTGCGACAACATCGCAAGGATATCCCAGGCCATCCAAGAAAGATGACTTAGGTGGTTTGGACACGTTCTTCGTCGTCAGCCTCCTGAGCCCAGTGGTACTGCCCTCGACTCGAAACCGTTACCTAATTGAAAACGCAG